GTCAAAGAAGGTGGCGGGGGCGGGGGATGCGGGGGGGCTGCCCATTACATCCCGCGAGAGAGGGGAACGTGCGCATGTTCAGCAGAGTGGTAGCTGATTCGCCTCAACGCCTGGCATGGTGACAAACGCATACGTGGCCTCGAATCTCGCTCATGCAGTCTCCTTTTCCCAGGACCCCCCGACCTGCCCTCACCTTCTCTCCCTCTGTGTAGGTGACTGCGGAGCAGCTCATGACCCAGATGCAGACAATGACCCAGACCTATGGCGTCAAGGCTGTGGGCAAGGCTGCAGCTGCCACAGTGCTGCTGCCCCTGGCCGTGGGGGTCGACCTCATCATTCTGCCGGGACCACAGGTGATGGGCGGGGCCCTGGGGGAGCGGCCACGGCCTGCAACTGCGCAGAAGAGGCAGAGAAGTGCACCAAAGTTGGAGCTTTGCGCTCATGTAAGATAGCCAGCATTGATGCTCAAGAAAATATAGTGCTGTTGTTCAAACCACATGCAGCCCCCATGTTTAAACCCCGGCCGTGCTCACCCTTCCCCCGCTGCAACCCAACACCACACCAGGTGCTGACGTACTACACAATGTGGCAGCTGTGGCGCAACGCAGCCGGGGCTGTGGGGACGCAGCGCGCGGCCTTTGTGACGCAGGCCACCAGTGCGAGTGACATCCGCGTCAACTATGTTCCTGACACCAGGCATGCACTCTCGAGGGTCGGGGCCTGGTGCAGTAGAGCGCTTTGCACCAGCACAGCTGGTGCTGTGCCATCATTCCGACTGTTGCCCCGCCTGCCCCTCTGCCCTTTGACCACAGTGCATCTTGCCCCTACAAATTCCATCTCAACAAATGCCCCATCCGCCCTTCCCCCTTTCCCCCACCCGCACCCAGGCTGGACCGCGCGTTCCAGGCTGTTGCGTCGTCGCGTGACGGTGTGCTGCCTGACGACGAGATCGACCACCTGGTGGCCGCACTCGATGAGCCGTCACTGGAGGAGCCACTCAGGGAGCTCAGGAGGCAGAGGCTCAGGAAGGCCGCGCGCACTGCGGGGGATGGCGGGGCGGACTACACCCCGCTACCACGGGATGAGAGCGCTTTGGGCGAGGAAAGCCAGGCGCAGCAGGAGCACGGAGGCAATACAGAGCAGAGGGCAGGGTCAGGTGCGCGTGAGAGAGAGGGGTGGAAGCAGCAGCAGCAGCAGCAGCAGCAGCAGCCCAGTGGAGTTGGCACCGGTTTTGGGGATGGTGCGAGCAGCAGGAGCAGCGGCAGTGGTGGTGGCTGCAGCGTCGGTCCGTCAGCTGCAGTGGAGCCGAGTAGGATGCAGCACCCTCCAGCTCCTGCGGTATAGTTGTGTCCTTGACAAGCTTTGACAGCCCTTGATGAAGGGTCGGGCATTTGTTTTTGGGACCAGTGCTGTGGTGGGGAAAGGAGGGCTGTTGCACTTGCATTGTTGCGATTGTCAGAGGTTTCACCATCATGATGATCAAACATCATCATCACAACAGCTTCAACCTTCTAGTCAAATTGAACAACACAAACACGGCAGATACAGAAGAAGAGTGTGCAGGCGCAGCAAGAGAACAACGGTAACACAACATGGGACAACCTGGGTGCTCATACATTCCATGCGCACTACAAACATGGGTCTGGAGAGGTTGTTACGGTTCTAGTTGAGAGTGTCTGCAGGGCAGGCGTGATGTCTTGGGAAGGGGAGCAGGTTCGGGCCCCTGACCAGTTCCTCGGAAGGAAGGAAGACAGCCAGGAGCAACCTGCAACACGCAGCAAGGTATACAACCCAGTACGACCACGGCGCCCAAAATTCATGACGAAGTGCGCACTGTTCACATCGTTACACCGACCTGTCTGTTTTTGCCTCCCAAATGAGACAGCGGCTTTGTGTAACCCCAACCAAACTTGGAACGCTGTTTCTGGGCCCTTGTTGTGCGAGCACTTGTAAAATGAGAGGTGAATGTTTAGTATGTTCCTTGACCATACCCATGTGCCCCTGCACACGGAGCAACACCAGGGGGTGGTCCCGGGCCCCGGGGATACCGCGGGGGGGGGGGGGGTGTTGTCGACAAATCTGTAAATCGCTCAAGGCTTCGGCGTCCCCTGAGCACTTCATTTTACCCATGAGCACAGCACAGGTCAGGGGTCACAAACATGCTGGGCTGCAGCCCGCGGTGTCAGATTGAACAAGAATGACACAGGCCTTTACAGTGTCAAGAGACACGGGCCAGGAGCTTCCTGCGCTGCGAAGGGGTACACCCCGTCTGCACACGCGAAAGTGTGGGCTCGCTTGCTCCACCTTCATGCTCATTGGATGAAGCCAGCAGGGTGAATGGTGCGTCAGCATAATCGCACCAATTGCGCCAAGCCGCGATGGGTGCACGACCTTTGAACCCCAATGCTGCAGTCGGAGCGGAGGCAGGGTTGCACGCACAAGCAGTTGTTGACATGGGCCTACCTGCTGCAACTTGTGCCCCTGCCTGAGAGTACCCAGGTCTATTGCGGCAGCTGTCGTTTTGTGCTGAGATGACGGGGCTGTCAGATGTGGATGCACAACCAAGCCAGGCACCTGGGGTCTGCTCACAATTGACTGCATGCACACCTGTTGGACGCCTTGCGCTGCGCGCGTCGGTGGTCAGCGACGATATACATTCCAGATGTCCAGCCTCGCGCAAAATCGCGCAAATTGACTGCCAGAAACCTGGAGTGCCAATTTTATTACCATTCCACAACCATCACTAATATACCTGGACAAACATGCACAGTTGCAGCTGTGGCGGTGAACGCCGCCTGCCGCTCTGTTGCGCCAACAGATGCGGCAGTAAGACACGCTGCGTAATTTCTGCCCTCTTCCCTGGCGGGGCCCGAAAGTAGAACGAGCGTGACCGCCGTATACACAACGAGCAAAGGGAGATCGTGGCAGCCAATCATCCAGGGACGCACACACATGGGGGAGCAGCGACGCCCCCTGTGTGACGAGTGAGCAGCCATGGGGTGAGGGGCCTTCAGTTGCGGACCCTTCCAGTAGTGGCCAGCTCCACCCAGCACTGTAGCGCATGCGCAAAATGGCTGCAAGGAGTCATACAAAAAGACGAAGTGACGGGGTGGGCATCCTGCACCAGCGCACGAGGTGACGCTCAAGACACTGCGCCTATCAGCGCCGCAGGCCGCAACACCCAAAGGGCGCCCGATTGTAAGAGGAAGCAGGGAAAGAGGAGGCCAAAACACGCAAGTGATCCCGCCACGAGTCGAAAACGCGAAGAAAATGCCCCACCCAGGGTGCCTCACAGCGCAGAAGCGTGCGCTCACACGCTCAGGCCAGCCACGCAGCTCCGGCCTTGTCCAAGGCCTTTGCCACATCAGCCTCGCTGCGAGCAAAGCTGGGCAGCAGCTGGCCCCACGAGAGACCACTCGCCGTCCAGGCCGCCTTGGCGGCGGCACCGTCATCACCCGCGACCTCGCGCCACCTGTTGAGCAGCTCCGCCACCAGCGGCAGCGCCTTCTCTGCGTCAACCAAGGGAGGGTCCTCCCCCTCATCCTCGCCGCCCTCATCCTCGTCGTCGCCGCCGCCGCCGCTGCTGCCGCGCGCCTTGTCCTGCAGCATGGCGTCCGCCACCGCGCGCAGCTGCAGGCGGCCGCCCGCCGCAAAGTCCCCGAGCATGCGGCCCGTGAGCGCGGGCGCCTTGGGGACGTCCTCCGCCAGGTCAGCCAGCCGCGCCACAAAGCCGGTGGGGCCCAGGAACAGCGCAGCCAGGTGCACGTCACTCAGGCCGCCGCTCTCAAGCTGCTGCTGGAGGAACTCCTGCAGATATGGATGGTTGTGCCCCGAGTGAACATGCTTTCTTCACACCAGCAACCTCCAGCAAGCATGTCAAGCAATCCATCCGGCAGCCTCAAGCCACGAACCCTGCTTGTGCCCAACTAGTGCCCCCCCACCCCACACACCCCACCTTGGGCTTCTCCAGGCGCTCCTCCAGGGCCACACCGCGGACGTCCAGCGACTGCCGCAGCACCTCCTGCAGCGCCGCGCCCACGTCCTCAGCACCGCCCACCACCGACCGGAGCAGCTCCTCTGGCGTCAACCCCGTGTCGTCCGTCTGCCCAAAGAGCAGCTTCACAATCGACTCCACGGCGCTCTGGACCTCGGCCTCCGGCAGCGCCGCGCCACCTGCTTCGCTGGGCCTCACGCTGCTGCCAGCAGACGCGCCGCCCTCCTCGCTTGACCGCGGGGCTTGGGGACGCCGGTCAGCATCCCGCTGCTGCTGCTGCTGCTGATCCTGCTGCTGCTGCTGTTGGTTGGGGCGTGTGGGCAACGGCGGCTGCTCAGCCACACGCGGCCCGCCGCCAGCCGGGGGCACTGCCTTGCGGTCGCCGGCGCCGCGCATGGGGCTGGCGCCCTTGAGGCCGCCAAAGCCCTGCGGCCTCAGGCTGAGCTCGGACGAGGCGGTGCGCGCCCCCAACTGCGCCTTCATGGGGGCTGTCGGCAGCTCGTCTCGCCGCAGGTGATCCACGCTAGGCCGCCGCGGCGGGGGCTGGTCGCCGCCGCCAAAGTTGCCAGAACCACCGCGGCCGAGGGGAGGGCCGCGACCGCCGCCGCGGTCGTTGCGCGCCGCCACATTGTCCGCCTCGCGCTTTGCTGCGCGGTGCAGCTCCTGTGAGTGGGGTGCAAGGGGAAGCAGGCGCAGGCCGTTGCCGTTCGCGACACCAATGGTTGAACTCGTTCAGCGTGCAGGGCAGTTGCGCACTGCGTGACAACAGGCCAGGTTGCTGGTGTGTTTGCGGGGGCAGGGGGGCAAGTGCGGCCTGCTCAACGCCACCGCCCTCCAGACGGCTGCCAGCCCACGCGCGGGTGCTTTACGCGTCCCTCTCCGCAGGGCCCCCCCCCTTGCTGCCGCGCCCGCACCTCGATCTTCATGGGCCCCTCTGCCTTGCGGCGTGTGGCCCAGCCGCGTGAGCGCTGCTCCTGTATGTCCATGAGCATGAAGCGCAGGCGGCTGTCCAGGGCCTTGTTCTCCACCAGCCGCGTGATGCGCTGGAAGTAGGCGTCCATCACCCGCCGCCCCTTGGCCGCCTCCTCCTTCTGCCGCTGGAGGACCTGCACCTGCGTCATGCCGGCAGAGCCCTTGACCACGCCACCGCGCTCCAGCTGCTGGCCGATGGTTGACAGCAGCTTGCAGAGGCACTCGAGATCCTCCAGCTTGGGGTTCTGGTCGTCCAGCAGCAGGCGCTGGATGCAGCTGCGCGCCAGCGGGTGGGAGCGGGGCGGGGAGACAGCACGCAGCAAGCGGGGCGTCAGGTGAGGCTCTAGGGGTGCGTGCCAGGGTTGCCTGAACAGAACGGGGCCGTAAACAGATCACCCTGCTGCTGGCAGGAGGGCCCACTACTGGCGGCCTCACACCCGTCACAGCACTGGCCCCGGCCCCCTGCCCACGCCCCGCAACACCTGTGCATGATGTTCTCCGTGAGCATGCCGTAGCGGTACAGGTGGCCAATGAATTGGATGTTGCCCAGCATGCGCCGCCGGGCCTTGAGCTCCTCCTCCGCCGCCGCCCTCTCCGCGCGCCGCAGCGCCAGTGCAGCCGCCTTGGGATCGAGCGGCTTGGCGGGCTTGGGGGGCGACGTCTCGCCCTCCTCCGCGTCCCCCTCGCCGTTCTCGCCGCCCTCCTTGGCGCCGCCGTCCGATTGCTGCTGCTGCTGCTGCTGCTGCTGCTGCTGCTCCTCACCCGCCTGATCGTCGTCGTCACCGCCCTCGCCCTCACCCTCGTCCTAAGGTGAGTGATGCACAGGGAGAGGAGCAGTGGAGGCCAGCACACAGGTGTGGGCCTCACGACAGTCGCGTCCCCACAAAGTCACCTGGCATGGGACGAGCCCGTTATGCGGTGATACACCGCCACCACAGCAGCAGTGGTTACCGCTCAGGCTCTCCTGCCTCCTCACAACCCCATCAGGCCCTCTGCATTCCGGCGCCCACCCTGCACCCTGGCCTTTGTGCACCTCCCCCTCGTGCGCCCGTCTGCCACCGCACCTTGTCGCCTCCGCGCTCCTTGGCCTTGGCCTCCCTCTGCGCCACCGCGAGCATCGCTGCGTCACCCTTCTCAAACTCCTCCTGGCACTTGTTGAGCAGCAGCCGGCGGAAATTGAGCTTGCGGCGCTTGGTCTCGCCGCCCTCGCTGCCTCCCGCCTCCTCTGACGGGTCGTCAAACTCAGGCAGCCGCCTCTGCAGGTTGTGGCACAGCTGGCTGTACAGCTCACAAAAGTGCGGCTCAAACAGTGCCTTGTCAAAGATCTGGGTGGATGCAATAACAAGAGAGGAAGAGGCAGAAAGAGAGGAGAACATTGGCGCGCGAGGGCTGCAGCACCAAGGGGGGACAGCCTCCTACCACACGCCTGGGCCCAGGCACCCCCTCCCCAGCAATACTGGCACCCTCCATGCCCCACAAAGGACGCGGGCCCACGTCTTCACGCGCGTGGCCCCCCCCCCCGTCCTCCACCGTCACTGGGTCGCTGGCACAGCCCCCGGGGTATGCCCTCCCACCTGGCCGATGAGCCCGACCAGGGTCTTGGCCTGCGTGATGCCAACGTCCAGCAGCTGCTGCGCCAGGCGCTCAAAGTTGTCGGGCGTGATCTTGTTGAGGATGCCCTTGAACGCCTTCTGCTTGGCCTCCTCCTCCGGGTCGTCACTCAGCACCAGGCCCACCTTGAACGCACTCTCAGTCTTGTGCAGGGCGGGCAGGTCGCGGCGCGACGGCATCACGCCACGCGCGGGCGGCAGCGGCCCGCCACGCGCCCAGCGGTCTGAGTCGACCGTTCCGGGCGGGGGCGGGGGCGGGGCGCGACGGCCGCTGTCCGCACGCATCATGCCGGCCGCCCCGCCGCGCGGCACGTCGCGGAAGCCACCAGGGCCGGGAGGCCCGCCAGCGCCCCTACCGCCACGAGCACCCCAGTCGCTGTCCACGCGATCTAGGGCCCCACTGCGGCCGCCCCGGCTGCCGCCGCGGCTGAGAGCACGGTCAAAGCCCACGGCTGCCGGGACGTACCCTGGCGCGCTGGGGTCGTTGGTGATTTCCTCCTGGGGGCGCGCGGGTTGTGAAGTGGGGTTGGACGGTGGCGGTGGCGTCAGCGGTAGTGGGGCTACAGGCACAGTCGCTTGCCGTGGTGTGCTGGCGCCACGCAAGGCCACGCAGCCGCGACTGACGTCAACGACACCAACACCCTGGTCACGACAACAACACACTACGCTGACGCACGCAGGCACGCGCACAGCGACAAAGGGGCCCTCACGATCTCAGAGAGCAGCTCCGGCTTGTTCTTGGCCGCAGGCTGCTCCCTGAGCTTGATCAGGAAGTCGCGCGAGTAGGTGACGCGCCCGCCGCCGCTCGGCGATGCAGCAAAGGGGGACGTCCCTGGCTGCGGCGCCTCGCCGGCAGGCGCCGGGCCCGCATCTGCGTCGTCCTCCCAATCGCCGCCCGCCGCAGCCTCGCCTGCCTGCGCCGGGCCCGCTGTGCCCGCTTCGCTGCTCGCCGTGGGCACAGGAGCAGCGTCCTCAACTGCAGGAGGCGCGAGCTCAGCGGCCGGTGCTGAGGCCGGCGGCGATGCCACACGCCCGCTGCTGCCACTGCTGGGCATTGGCATGAGCGCTGCGGCTGTCACGGGGGCACCCGGCCGCCCGGCGGCAGCACCTCTGGGCGAGGAGGACCCCCCGCTCCTGCCAAGGGCGCGGGGTGACGAAGGCCCCGCATTCTTGGCGATGGCGTCCGCAAAGGACCGCACCAGGCTGCGCACCTTGGGCAGTGGCTCCTCCAGGACCTCGCCGCCGCCAGACGCTGCACGCGCAGCGCCGTCCGCTGCTTCGGGCGACAAAGGCCCCTCGGGGGCTGCGGGGGCCGGGCTAGGCGCTGCTGGTGGCGGGGCCCCCGATGCTGCCAGCTCCGCTGCCGCTGCTGATTCCTCAGCAGCCTGGGCTGGTGCAGGCGCTGCCTCTGCCACTGATGCGGCCCCGACTGCCGCTGCGCTAGGTGCAAGGGCAGCCACCGGCTGGGCAGCCGCCGGCTGCACAGCCGCCTGCTTGGCTGGCGTCGCCACCACCTCGGGCTGCGCGGCCTGTGGAACTGGCTCTTTTGCCAGGACCGGCTTGCTTCCGCCGTGGGCCGCTGCCGCTGCCTTGATGGTTGTTGGAGGCACGATAGCCAGGGGCCTGGGTGGCGTGGCGCGTGCAGCCGTCACAGGCGTGGCCGGCTCCGCGGGCTTCTCAGCAGGCTGTGGAGAAGCCGCCGCCTGCCGCGGTGCGCCCGCCCCGCTGTTTGGCGTGGCCGTGCCTTCCACCTTGACCTCCTCCTTGGTGGTGGGGTCCAGGATGGCAATGCGCTTGCTCTTGGGCGCAGACAGCGGCGGCGGCGGCGTCACGGGCACCGCCGCCGGCGACGGCGCTTTAGAGGCGTCGCGGCCGCGACTGCCTGGGGCGCCAGGCGTGCCCGGGCCCGTGGCGCTAGCGGCCTGGCCGCCGATGCCAGCGCCAGCGGGCAGCCCCGCCGGGCTGGCGGCCGCCTGCGAAGGGGGGTAGGTCGCCGCTGCCACCTGCATGTAGGGTGCCCCTGCCTGAGGGGCGTAGCCGTAGGTGCCCGAGTAGGCAGCTGCAGAGCTGTACATCTGCATCGGGTAGCCGTACGCGGCCTGCGGCGCGCCGTTGTAGTAGCCGTAGCCGTAGGCGCCCTGGGCGTATTGCTGCTGCTGCTGCTGCTGCTGTTGCTGCTGCTGCAGCTGCTGCGACTGCACGTTCGCCTGCGGCTGCTGTGTCTGAACAAGCGGCTGACCGTTGGATGTCTTGTTGATGCCACCCGGGCTCTGACCGCCCTTATGCTGGCCGCCGTTGCCACGGCGCCCATGCTGCTGCTGACCCTCTTGCTGGTGCTGTCCCACCTGCTGCACATTCAGCCTGCCACCCGCCACGTGCTGCTGCTGCTGCTGCAATCGCGGCGGCGGAGGAGGCGGGGTGCCTGCGCCGCCCACGCCCTGCAGCTTGCTCTGCTTGCCCTGCGGCTGCTGCGCAGGCGGCGGGCCTGCCTCAGCAGTTGCTGCTATGATCGGCTCATCCATTCCGATTGTGCCAAAACTCATCTCCATGGGAGCCTCGATGCCGTCGGATACATCTGCAAGTTGGGAGTGCGCGCGATAGTGCGCCATCGGCGTCGACATGCACAGCCAGCTGCAACAGGCAAGCACATGCCGTTGCTCAGTGCATGCGGCTCCTCAGACCGAGCCGCCCGCAGCTGCTGAAGGGCAGCGACTCCCACGACCACGAAGACTCTTCACTTTGCCTTGATGCATTACTCTTACCTGCTGCAGCCGCTGCTGCTGCCGACGCCTCTGCCAATTTCGAGGCGGCCATGCTGCTGCACAGGCCACCCGCCAAAGGCCGGGTTCCTGCGTGGGTGCACGAGATTTTGATGGGATAAAATTCGATGTGCAAGCTCCTGTGTGCGCCGCGAACGTGCGATGCGCGATGATCTAAGCTCAAGCGCAACGCCGCCGCCAAGGCGCTATCATCAACGGGCACTTCTTATCGCTCCAGACACCTCCCCTACAAGATCTGCGACGGTCACCTCTGCCCACAGGCCCCTGCTCCGGCCGAAACCTGTGTGTCTCTAGCCGCTGATCCGTGTGTGGGGTTGATTGTATTAGTTGTTGGGGGAATTACCAACGATCAATTGCCAAGCGGTAGTCGGCCTTGAAGCGCGAACTACTGACCGCTGCCGCCGCTGCCGCTCGGGCCGGCCCACGTGCACGCGTGGGTCGTAGTCGTGGCCGCGGCCGCCCATCGTGCTTGAGCTGTCCATTAAGGGCGCATCAATCTTACATGACCCGGGTCCTTTGCATCTCAGAGATAGCCTGATATACGCCTCCCCAATACTCCACATCCGCACGCGCCGGTGTACGCCTCTCTCCCCGGGCCACGTACCGCACCCACACCCCCACGCCATTGTACTCACCCGACATACACAGCCCCGTTTTTTTCCAGTTGACACAGGTGGTCGAAAATCCTGCTACATAGTTATGTGCATTCGCACAAACACACGCGCACGCACGCATGCACGCACGCACGCACACGTGCGCGCGCACACACCCACACCCACCCACCCCCCTACACACACACACACACACACATGCGCACGCAAGCACGCGGGCACGCACGCACACACATACACATGCCATTTTCTGGAAACAATGTATCTGATAGCCCTGCCGTTTATGTAGCTTCCCATGTCCTGTGTCGGCTTGACCCCTGCGCGCTGAAAATGTCACGCTCAGCAGTTGCATGAATGCGCAAGCATTTGTCCATGCTGTGGTGGTGCGTTTCATGAATTGGCGATTGGACTTGTGGTGCCAGTGCATGAAGGTGGACTGCACACAAGGCACCAAACTGCTCACACAGGTGGATCGGCATATCTTGGGTTGGGTGCTTCCACGATTTTGATGACACACCTGCCACACAGCTGGGAGTGCTGCACTTAGTTACCCCGGTTCCTTCTCGTGCCTGGCATTGCTGAAGTGTTCATGTACAAAGTGCTTGTTTGTCCCAGCACAGCCATGCATCGAGGCGACTTGCCTGGTGACTAATTTTGTGGTACCATCAGCAGATCCACTGAGCGCACTGTGACCTATTCCTAATGAAGGCTCACTATGACTCCAGGAGCAAAATGTTGTCAGGCTGAAATCCGGGCTTTGCTTGGCTGTGTTGCGCCTCGCACAAAGCATAGGCGACTTGACAACGACTGGCGGCGGCTGCTTTGGAGCCTGCAGGTGTGGGTACAACAGCTGTCGAATATCCACAGTACTGTCACACAAGACCTTTTCCAGTGGCCTGCGCACCTGAGCTTCTGCCCTAGGATGCAGGGCATTCACAAGGTGCGCAGCATCTGGCGGGGCATTTGTGTTGTGTCACTCAGTGCCCCAAGTGCACCAGGTGATGCAGCAGCGGCTGGCATGATGTGTGTGTGCATGCACCAGAGCATTGATATACTTGCGAGCATTGTCGCAGTGTCCATGTAGTGGTATGCAGCCGAAGACAGCACTATGAGTAGCAAAGCATTGACCGGGGGGTTCCTGTCACTGTCCGTGAGCACGCCTCACTCCTGCAGCGGCAAGCTGCTAGCATCCGCACTCATCACCCGATCCCGCTGTGATAACCTCCTTAAACTGACATCACACAGTGGCGGTATGAGAGCAAGGCTGCTATAATGCTGTGCTGCGCTGGAGATGTGCCGGAGCGACCTGCTTTTTCCGCCACACTCAAACCAACTGCTACTGTACAGTTTTGTTGGGGCGGTTGGCGCCCTGCATGAGACAGTGCAACTTGAATCGACACGGCGCAAATTGCCTTTCCTGCCGTCGTGCGCGACCAAGCGAAGCAGAGCCCCAATTGCTGCAAGTTGGGGGGGGGAGCAAGCTGGGGGGGAGCAGCTGCTGCCAAGGGCGCTCATCTTCCGCAAACCTTGTGAACCTCTGATGGCAGCTTGTTTTGCGTAGATCGCTCACTTGCTGCTCGAAGTAGTCCAGCGTTCCCAGGGGGCGCGGCAGAACTTCGAGCGAACCCTCAATTTGTGTACTGATCTGTGCACTCCGTGTCCGTACCAGGCCAACCCTTCATTTTGGCGACAGAAAGAAGGCATTCATGCTTTTCCAGGCGGCTCTGGGCGCCTTGCGCCATGGGCTGCGGGCAGGCCAGTGCAGCGGGCTTGTCAGGTCCTTCGCTGCGGAGGCTGCTCCTGCCGCGGCGACTGGTGAGCGCAATCGCCCTTCAGCTTCCGCCAGTTTGCAATGGGAGGCGGCGTGGCGGGCCTTTCTGCATCACGATGTGCAGCTAGGATCTTGCAGATCACCGACTGCTGCTGGCTGGGATCATGACTAGCCCTTGTAGAGTATATGGGGGCTTGCACTGTAGCAAGGTGCAGTGCATCATGGGCGCCCGCATAATACGAGATGGCAGGCAGCGGTGCACGCAAGCCGCGCACTGGTGCGGCTGTCGGCAGTGCGTGACTTTGTATTCCAGCCCCAACATCCTTTTGCACGCGCGCTCCCTGTGACAGTTGGCTACGTAAATCAGGTCATTGGACCAGTGGTGGATGTGCGGTTTGAGGGCGAGCTGCCGGCCATCATGTCTGCGCTGGAGGTGCAGGACCACAACATCCGCCTCGTGCTGGAGGTGGCGCAGCACCTGGGGGATAACAACATCCGCTGCATCGCCATGGACATGACGGACGGCCTCGTGCGAGGGCAGCGCGTTGTCGACACCGGGGCGCCCATCAAGGTGCTGTCACTGCATGCGTAGTGCATGTGCGCAGTGGAGGCACGGCACACGGTCGCAATGCGTTGGTGCGATGGTGCTTGCAGGCCGTATGCAAGCATGCACCCCAGCACTACTAGGCGAGCCCTGGGCCCTGGAACTGAGCGTCAGGCTCAGGAGCAGGCTGTGTTACTCGTTGACTTGCAAGTTCGGGCCACACACTTGCAAGAACGGCCCGTGTCCCTCGGCACACCCCTTCAGGTGCCGGTGGGCCGCGGCACCCTCGGCCGTATCATCAACGTAATTGGGGAGCCTGTGGACGAGTGCGGCCCAGTTGGTGAGGGCGCGCTGGTCCGTCATGAATTGAAAACACCCAGCATGGAAGGATTGAGAGGGCAACAGCAGCACCAACACTAGGAACGGCAGCAGCTGGTTGGAATGATGCCCTGCCTAAGAAAACAACACTGCGGCGGCACAACACTGCGTTGCGGTGTCACCACTTCTATTTCCATCACCTCCTCGTTTGCCTGCACCCCGCCCCTCCTCCACCCCCCAGAGTCGAGTGACCTTTGGTCCATCCACCGCGAGGCGCCCGAGTTTGTGGAGCAGAGCACTGACCAGGAGATCCTGGTGACGGGCATCAAGGTGGTGGACCTGCTGGCCCCCTACCAGAGGGGCGGCAAGATCGGCCTGTTTGGCGGCGCAGGCGTGGGCAAGACCGTGCTCATCATGGAGCTCATCAACAACGTCGCCAAGGCGCACGGTGGGCACACTGCGGGGGCCTCACAGGTGTTTGCAACAGCAGCACGCGCCATGCAGGGCCTCGCCATACCCTGCATACAGGGCAGCAGGAGTCTCCTGAGTGCCGCTGAGCAGTTGATGTGCCATGCCCAACTAGCCTTGCCAAGGCCCCAATGATTGCCCAGCCAACTCCCCTCACCCAAAGGTGGTTTCTCCGTGTTTGCGGGTGTGGGTGAGCGCACGCGTGAGGGCAACGACCTCTACCGCGAGATGATCGAGTCCGGTGGGTGCTGGGGTTGAGGGGCGGGGGAGTGCGGGGGGCCACGCGGGGCTGCGCTTGCTGGGTGAGCTTGGGTCAGCCGAGGTGCTGCTCGTCAAAGTCGGTGACAGCACACCCACTGATTGCACCTGCTCTGCTTGAGAACTTGCTCACTTGGCTTGCCTCCCAATTCTTGTGCTGGTTCCCCAACCCCTTGGTGAGTCTGCTCATGAATCCCATCGTTCCCCCCCTCTCTCTGTGTCTCTGCCACACGCTGCCCCTCAAGGTGTGATCAAGCTGGGCGAGGAGCGCGGCCAGTCCAAGTGCACGCTGGTGTACGGCCAGATGAACGAGCCCCCGGGGGCGCGTGCGCGTGTGGCCCTGACGGGCCTGACCGTGGCGGAGTACTTCCGTGACGTGGAGGGCCAGGACGTGCTGCTGTTTGTGGACAACATCTTCCGCTTCACGCAGGCCAACAGCGAGGTGTCGGCGCTGCTGGGCCGCATCCCCTCCGCCGTGGGCTACCAGCCCACGCTGGCCACTGACCTGGGTGGCCTGCAGGAGCGCATCACCACCACCACCAAGGGCTCCATCACCAGTGTGCAGGCCGTCTACGTGCCCGCGGACGACCTCACGGACCCCGCCCCCGCCACCACCTTTGCCCATCTCGACGCCACGACGGTGCTGAGCCGCTCCATCGCCGAGCTGGGCATCTACCCTGCTGTGGACCCCCTCGACTCCACCAGCCGCATGCTCGACCCCCGCATCATCGGTGCGCCATCCCCCATCTTCTTCCAGCCTGTTTCCCGGCGGATATAGTGGATTTTTTGGGTCTCCTTGGACGCTGTTGGGGCAGCAGCGGTGTCTGGCAGTCTGCCTGGACCCAGCGCATGGGTCGCCCAACGGCCGTGTCGTGTCACAAAGTTGGTTGGTTGCGCACCGCCGCCTAGCTCTCAGCACCCCCGAGCTCTCACCTGCTGGCTCTCTCCGCCCCCCCTCCCCCCCCCCCCCAGGTGACGTGCACTACAACATTGCGCGTGGTGTGCAGAAGGTGCTGCAGGACTACAAGAACCTGCAGGACATCATCGCCATCCTGGGCATGGACGAGCTCAGCGAGGAGGACAAGCTCACGGTGGCGCGCGCCCGCAAGATCCAGCGCTTCCTCTCACAGCCCTTCCAGGT